ATCATACATCGCAAAAAGCGAAGCAAAACCTATGAATTTCGATAATCGTTCCCGAAAAAGAGGACAGCACGCCTCTGGTGAATCGGGCAAGTTCGTAAATTTTGTCAGCTTTGGCAGCCCACTTCACGACGTGAACTTCACGTAGGTATATATTCACGGTATTTCACTACGTTCCCACTTCCCGTAAGTTCTCAAAGACATACAAATGAGTGCGAATGAGAAAAAAAATGTAAACATGCATTGAAAATGTAGTGATAGTAGGAAACAGAAGTGAGTAGTGACGAAGAAATGAGTTTAAAAAAGCGTGAAAGCGAACTAGTTGACGTTCGATGTTTGTATGGTGCATAGTGCATGTCAATCTGTCAAAATAGAAATTATTCGAAAGATTTTCTTGCAAATAGAATTGATATTGAACATTTGAAAAATATTAATGTGATTGTGATGTGTGAATAGTGTTATGATTGTTTCTGTGCGGTATGTGTTCAAGTTCTGCTAGTGCTGTTCATTCATCAAATCAAGACAATTATATTTGGAGGTGTGTATTATTTTTTACCAGCTTTTTTTTCTTGGAAATTATCGAGGAAATTATTATTTGTTAGCGTAGTTCTGCGGTTTTATTCGGGTCTGATTGATTGCTATAATATTATGAATTCCTTGGCCCTACCTATTTATTGATTTCATGATTTCTCATAAGTATAACATAACCTCAATCCTTAATAAACATTGGGAAAGGTAAATAGTCTGGTAAATAGTTGGTAAATAGCTCGGTAAATAGGTAATACCACAAAATACTCATGTGGTAATACCATAGCTCGGACGATCAAGAGATGAACTATAGATGACCAATAATAATAATTGTACAAATTTTCAAAGAATCCTAATTTAGTAAGGAATCGATCATGACACTTCAAAAGTAGGTATTTTTCCAGGTATTATTGAAAGGAATTTTGATTTTCATTTTGACTTAGGCTCGGAATGAGTAGGAAATAGGAACTTTTGGTCTGACCGAAAAATCTATCAATATTGGTCTGAGTTGCCTATATACAGGGTGAGTCATTACTATGATCTAGAGGCCGAGCTAAGGGCGGATCTCGGGGCCGAGCTCGAGGCGGATTGCTTGGACCAAAATATGGCGATAGGACCGAATATGCCTCAATAAAATATTGCTGTGGAAAAAGATACAGGGCGTTTAAATTGAAATTTTTCTTTCGTTTTTTGCGAGGTTTTTTGCTAATAATTTCATCAACATCAACATTATTTCTACGTAATATTGGATATTGGTACTCCTGTTTGAAATAGTTATTTCAGTTATTTGTTCTAGCAGGCAGAAAAGTACAAGATTTAATGCCGCGGCTTGCGTTTCACAGTAATCACAGTCTAGGCGTAGCCGAGGCTAGGAAACCAGCCAAGGCATTACATCTTCTTTTCTACGTCCTGTAGGATGAATGTTTATTTATCATACATTTAAAATAGTTATTTTTGTATCTAGAGCGCGAAATGCTACTTTGGTGATCGAGATCTGATTTTTTTAACGAGGCGTAGCCGAGTTAAAAAAATAGTCGAGATATAGTTCTAAAGTAAAAATATGCTTAGCTTGATATAAAAAATAGTGTTGAACTGGCTTAAAAGGTCTCCCCCTATCCTCCCTAGGTACGCACGATGTTTCACGAACATAATAGGAATTTCCTTTCGTGCGCTCCAAGAGAAAAAACAAAGTTATTGTTGAACATTCAGAAATAAATGATTTTGTGGATGTCTGCTCGATTGAGGACCATACAGTTGAAATATAAATATCTCATGAATTTTACATAACAATGCGCGAAGTAGGTACTTCGCGCACTGTTTTACTTCGCGCATTGTTTTGTGCAAGGAATCATGGTAACGTAGGAAACTGAAAAAAAGTGTCACTTCGCAATTTGTTATCAATGCGCGAACCTTGTCATTTTTTGACGTTTGTAGAATAGTTATTTTTGTATCTAGAGCGCGAAATGCTACTTTGGTGATCGAGATCTGATTTTTTTAACGAGGCGTAGCCGAGTTAAAAAAATAGTCGAGATGACCAAAGTATTTCGCGCTCGAGTTGCAAACAACATTTTTTCTACAAACGTCAAAAAATATAGTTCTAAAGTAAAAATATGCATAGCTTGATATAAAAAATAGTGTTGAACTGGCTTTGAAGGCCTCCCCCTATCCTCCCTAGGTACGAACGATGTTCCACGAACATAATAGGAATTTCCTTTCATGCGCTTCAAGAGATAAAACAAAGTTATTGTTGAACATTCAGAAATAAATGATTCCATGGGTGTTTGCTTGATTGAGGACCATAAAGTTGAAATATAAATATCTCATTAATTTTACATAACTGAAAGATACGCAACATGCGAATATTATCTTTACTTTATTTCATTTTCAAATTATATTAAATTGTTATATATTTTCCATGACAACTCATTTTGTCCATTTCCACGACGTTCGCCTCCTATACAATACAGTACATTCTCCGGCAGCAAAATGAAAACTACCTACCTATCAAAACACTCAATATCCATACCGGTCAGGTGGCCTAACGATTCTCTTCGGTCTCGAAACCATGACAGTTGTATTATTATCAATTTCAGACACATCATTATCTCTCTGACAAACATGTACACGTGATTTATCTGCAGAAATTGAGGGCTGACAATGAGAATTAGAATCATCAAAAGTACTTTCATTCCTATCATGAACATCCCTCAACCCACTGTATACATTGGATTTCAAAATTTGGTTAGTATGACGTTTCCAAATTTGATTCAACTCAGGGACTTCAACTAAATAAGTGCAATTACCAACCACTGTTTTGATAACACCAGGGATCCATGTAACTTTGTTGTTCACCCTGTAGTCTTTTACAATTACGCGATCCCCAACTGAAAAATGTCGTTCATTACCACCAAATTCCTTTCTTTGGTAATCCTGTTCTTTCATAACTTTATTTTGAACCACGAAATTTGGCTTGGAAATGTCAAACCTAGTGTGAATATCTCTACCAAACATAAGTTTAGATGGAGACTGACCCGTTGTCGAGTGACTAACTTTTTTATAATCAAATAAAAAATTATTTAAAGCAGTTAGTATATCTAGATGTTTGTGTCGCCCCAAAAAATTTTTCAAAGCATTTTTTACATTCTTGACCGCATTTTCTGCTGCACCATTTGATTGAGGAAAATATGGTGCAATGGTAATATGTTTGATCTCATATTTTCGTGAGAAATCTTGAAATTCTGAACTAGTGAAACTCGTAGCATTATCAGAGACAATAACATCAGGTAGGCCAAATCTTGCAAAAGTTGTATGTAGTGCTGATAAACTGAATTTTGTTGTAATAGTCGAAGTTGGATATACCTCTAACCATTTCGAATGAGCATCAACAATAATGAAAAAATAAGTGTTGAGAAAAGGTCCCATATAATCAATATGTATTCTGGAGAATACTCTTTCAGGCCATTTCCAACAATTTAGAGTTGTCTTAGCTGGAGATACTTTATTGACTGAACAATTTTCACAATTTTTCGCCACATCTTCAATGTCCTTATTAATACCTGGCCAAAAAAAATTTGCCCTAGCAATTTTTTTCATTTTAACAACTCCTAAATGTGACATATGAATTTGAGAAAGAATTCGCTTCTGTAATGTTTTTGGTATTACAATCCGGTTATTCCATATTAGTAATCCATTCTCAATTGTTAATTGTTCACGAATTCTATAAAAATCTTTGGAAGTTACATCTTTTTTAGAAGATTTTGGCCATCCTGTTTTCAAAAAATCAATTATCGATAGTGAGGTTGGATCATTATTAGTATGATTCTGTATCATTTGAATATTGGTAGAAATTATATCACTCTCTGAGAAATAATTGAAATAATCTACATCAAATGACTCCCAATTATCATTTTCTGATTCAATCGGCAGACGTGACAAAAAATCTGATCCATTCTTATCAGACTGAACATATTGAATTTTATATCTGTAATTAGATAGTATCACTGCCCAACGTCTTAGTCTATTTGCTGAATACTGCGGAATTCCTTTAGTAGGGTTGAATATGGCCAATAATGGCTTGTTATCAGTTTCTAAAATGAATTCATTATTGTACAGGTACTGGTTGAACTTGCCTACCGCAAAAATGATCGCGAGTCCTTCTCTTTCAACTTGGGAATAGTTTTGTTCTGCTTTTCCCAACGTACGTGAGGCATAACTGATTGGTTTAACGTCTCCGTTCGGAAAAACATGAGAAAGCATTGCCCCAATACCATACGGACTAGCATCAGAAGTAACTTTTAGCTTGTATTCTGGATTATAATGAACTAACACTTGATCTGACATAAGAATCTCTTTGATTTCAGAAAATGCTACATCACAATCTTTAGTCCATAGCCATTTTGCATTTTTATGTAATAATTCATCGAGGGGTTCGTCAATCCTAAAAATCGTGTACACCATTGCCCCATTGCTGAAACATTGCCACGAACTGCCGACCACTGCCTATCATTACCCACCACTGCCCATCATTGCCGACCACTGCCCAAGATTGCCGATCACTGCCTAGTACTGCCGACCACTGCCTATCATTTCCGACCACTGCCTCAGCATTGCCGATCACTGCCTCACCATTGCCGATCACTGCCGTCCACTGCCTATAACATTTGCCGTCTACTGTCGCTTATTCCCATTCACTGCCGTGTATCATTCACTGCCGTGTATCAACATCCAATATGCCACACTGGAATTCATTGCCTGTGGAAGTATTCCCAACAACATATAATCTCCAAAAATTCAAAAAAAATTCCAATACCTACCTCCTGTCCCTATCCTCCCTAGGAACGCACGATGTTCTTTGAACATTATAGGGATTCCCTTTCGTGCGCTACAATCGATAAAAAAAAAAAAATATATGCATGATGGATATTATAATATTTCATTTTATTCAATTTGGTCTAGATGGACTCAGAGATGGCTCGACTGCAATTATAAAAAAGTTTCTGTTGTTGATGCCGACTATAATTTTGATTTTGTTTCAGAATATCGCGAAAAAACTCAGTTTCTTAAACAGATAATGTTGTAAAATTTCGTACAAATACCAAGTAACATACAAAAAGTGTAATGAAAGATTTCATACCATGAAGAACTTTTTTCTAACAGATACAGCTTTCATTTTGTATTTTTTATAGAGGCAACAACATGAGTAATAACTTTGTTTTTTACTCAATCCTTTTATATTATATATGCCTTCATACCATTAGGTGTCAGAGTAATAACATGAACCATAAATATAAAAATATATTTGAAAATAAAACTGAAAACGAATACCTATACCGCCTATACTTAAAGATAATGGTGTAATCAATGCTTTCATTCCGATCGTTTGAAATTTTTATATTTTTCATTAATTTTCAGTCTATCACTTCTTCTTATCTCAAATGGGTTGCATCCAATTAGTTTCAGAGGACCGAAGAAAATGAAGTTTCTCTCAACCCTCTGTTTGTCATCCTTCTTCGGCCAATGAAATTCACCCATGTCTTCCTTCAAAAATTTAACTTCACAAAAATGTTCCTCCACGGAAATAACCCTTCCTAAGTACCACCTTAGATCGTAGTAAACGGCGTAGTACTCCTCTTCTTTAATGGTTATTTCCATGACCGATTCAGAATCTGAGGATTTCTCGAAATCTTCAGGACCTTCACTGCTGTCTTGGATACTATAGTCTTCTTCATCGGTCGTGTCTTCTGAGTTTGAATCACAATTTAGATCCACGACAGCATCGCGGCAGTTCTTATTGAAATCTTTAGAACGTGAACGTGGAGTCTGAATCTTTTTAACATTTTCCTTTTTAGAATTGGATGCAGACATACCTCTTACTCTCATGATTCTGTCTGACGAAAGCCTCCCACTTTTGTCGCTAAAAAGCCAACATAATGTTGATTTTCTTAGCGTCATCATTTTTCCATTAACGAGAACTCTCAGAAATTTGGATTCTTGTCCACATTTCACTTGGTTCACATTATCTTTCAAATCAATTGTGCCCAATGATGACAAAGTATTTAGTTCTTTTTCTATATGATCACGTTCCGGATCAGCCGCAATTTCTTCGTAATTGATGTCCTGATTTATGTCTTCATCTTGAACGATATCATCACTTTTTCCACTGTGTAAAACTGGCATATTTAGAATGGAAAAGTCATTATCATCAGCAATAATTCCTAGTTTCTTGGCGTCATTATTCGCATCATCTTTAGCTTTCTCTAAAATTTTTGATATTTCTTCCTGTGCTGGCATTGATCCTGTCCATAGTGTTAACAAATTACTCTTTCCCAACTTGATATTTTGCTCCTTGGGAAAACAATACGTGGACCCTGAAATGAAAATTATGAATACATATAGATCATTCCATGAAATCGTACTCACCTAGGTCTGTGCTGATTTCGTTGAGAGTTTGTATTCTGCTCAACCGTCCCAATATATCTGTCAATGAAAAATTAACTATTGTTGAAAATGTACTGGTCATAGATCGTGTCTGACGAAAAATTTTCTCACATGGTTGGCTTGAAAAATACCATGGTAAGAATGATGACGCCTCTTGTTTTAATTTTTGAGTCAACAGTATCAGTCCATGACCATTTAGTTCAATGCAAGTGTAGGCATTTTGGCTGATGAAATTTTTCTCCATACTATAATTATTTCTGGAGAGCCATTGTCGCCACACTCTCAAAAATAAAATTGAATACCACATGTTGTATATTCTGGTATTGATTTCCATATTTTTCTCGACAAAGGCCTCCAATATTCTTCTTTGCATCAATAAATATTGGGCAGTTGCCTCACTTCCCTCGATGTCTTTCAGTAGATTAATCACACTATTTGAACAAAGCTTATTAGCAGCCTCAAAGTTCATTTTGTCCATACCTGAAAATACATAGACACTCCCATAGACATATTATCGTGTAGAGGACCTTCAACAATAATGCTCAAGTCTGATGAAAAAAACTTACTTTGCAAGTCTCCAGTCGTTAAGAAATGCTGATCTTTGGAAAAAAGTTTCATGAGCTGTTCAATATGGGTAGAGGATACGAAATAACTACCCATAGGTAAGACAACTCCTGGCTTGAGAAATCGTGTTTTTAATTTCGTTATAATATGTATCGTGTCCTGGATGACTACTGGTTTATTCAAGTCATATATCATCTGAAATCACTAGATTATAGTAACGACCTCAGCCTAATGCCAAAGCAAAAATTGTCATGAAAACATACCTGGAAATAAGGAATATACGGAGATTCCTGATCAGTGCCATCTAAACTCTGTCCAAGCATAGTCAATTGTTTCATGGCTTTCAAACACCGTGGATCGCCATCGGAAGAAAAGCCCACGATTTCAATACCAACTGCCTTGGCTTGTTCTTCTAAATGGTTCCATCTCTTCAACACATCTTCCGAATTGAACTTATTATTACTACCAAAAATTGAGAGGCAGAAAGCTGGTTCTTTTTCAGAGAGAGGCTGTGCCATGAAAACGTAAGCATTTCGGGATAGAATTCTATTTTTGAAGGCATCTTCAATTTGTGCAACAGAATCTCCATACAATTCATTTTTCAAGGGAAATCCTGTTCTTTTTGAAGTTGGTAGTAGAAAACCGATCAAATTTCCAGTCCTCGGTTCATATTGCACTCTTTGTAAAATCGCAGTTTGGTCTTCACTTACGAATACTTTGAGTGGTAAATTCCGCTTGATGAGAAATTCTTTCAATTCCTGAATATATATTTGTCCTTCAGTAACTTTATAGTTATCTTCTAAAGTTCTTTCTACAGTTCTGACAGATGGTAAAACATTGTTGAAATTACTGTGTAAGGTTTGATAAGTTAATCGTCCACCAATCAGGAACATATATAGCGAAAACTTTTTTATCTCATCAGGAAATGAGTTTCTATTTCTTCCATCATTTTGTTGTGAAATTTTCACAAGAATATTGAGTAGTGTATTGATGTTATTATTGGAGCTTTCTGTTTTTCTGTTGAGCTCTCTTACTATTGTTTTTTCCATATCAGCATGTCTACTGAAATAATGTTCTAAATTATTAGTGAATTCGAAGAAATTTGTAATTTTTAGTTGATGTTCATCATCAATAATCAATGATCTGAGATGACGTTGCGATCTACTATATTTCGGATCCTTCCATTTATTCGCCGATTTGTTTGGAGGCGTTGATACACATACTACAGAATTAGTCGCCTCTTTAGTAATTCTGCTTCTGTGAAAAAACGAATCATGGACGCTCGAAGTTGACGGCAAATCCTGGTCATCGTAGTTTGTTATTGCCTGTGTTATCAATCGAGGGTAATTCATCTTCTAGCAAGGTATTTCTTAAGGACGTATCATGATTGAAAAGAACATCGTCCTCAAGTGAGTTCGTAATATTTTCACCGAATTCCAGTGATTCGACCTCTCTATTTTCAGCAGCTATATCTCCCTCAATATTTTCTTTATTCAAGTCATTTTCTTTTTCAAATGCCATTTCAATTTCTTCGTTCCTTCTAGGACTATTCTGAAAATCATCAACATTTTTTCCAGTCGATGTTTCCAGAAATTTCAAAATACTAGGATTTCCTCGAGGATTTTTCAAAACTTTTTTCTCCAAAACTCCTTTGTTATTATTGATCTTTTCATTGTGAAAATGAGATTTAAAATGATTATTAAAATTGGATAAGACCCACTTATTCCCATACTGTGACTTAACTGAAGATGAACATAAGTTGCAATTGATTAAGGCTTGGTCTTTACCAACGATTGAAACATTCATTGTCTCAAATTTTTCTATAACTATTTGAGCATCTCTTTTATTCAGTTCCTTGATGCAAAATGATTTGATATACTTCTTAGATGTCGATAAAATATGATCAGCACTCATTTTCTCTCTTTCTGGTAGAGTTATATCATCAGAAACATTTTCAGATATGTTCGATTTTCTTTTTTTTTCTCCATGTCGGTCTATTTCAGCTCGTTTTCTCTTTTGAGACTCACAAATACCAACTTTTTCTTTACATTTTGTTATTAAATTATTCAGAAGAACTTTATGGCCCTCAACAATTCTAAAAATGGATGGTTTCTTTGTATAGATTCCAAAGAATTTTATTTTTTCATGTTCCTCAATCAACTCCAATAGGTCTTCTTTGGCAAATCTTTCTAATTCAGTTATATTAGCATCTGTAAAAGTTGCTAGACTCTTAACATCATGCCATCCGGTAGTAGCTAATAAATTCATGAGGTAAGTAGGTAAAGCTATATTAAATTCAGCAGCTATTTCCTCAAGACTTTTCAACTCTCTTTCCAAACTTTCCATCTCTAAAATCTGGAAATGTCAGTTCCATTACTATTTATACTGAAAATCTTAGTTCGTAATGATAATCTTAGTTCGCAATGATAATAATAAAATATCATCCATGAATAAAAACTCATGTTACCATAAATTTCGAGATTTGATGATTTCCGATCCTACATTGTTAGTTTGAACGGTCATAACTCGGGTAAAGAAAGTTTCCGGTTCCAACGGATATTAAAATGCCATTTTCAAGTTGATAATTCCCAGTTTCTTGAGAAAACATAAGGGTGAATACATGAAATAATTAAGTTGCCTTATACCTTAAAAATGGCATATTTAATTTCGGTAGAACGGGAGGTTTTAGTGAAAACGTGAACCAGTTCAAAAGATCTTGAGAAATAACAACATAGACTAGTCCAAACCGCATGTCGATACCTTGAATAGTTTCAAAGATATGAGCATTTGAAATGTGTCAGAATATATATTATATATAGAATATATACATGGTCACCTGGTATTATTAGGAATTCAATCAGTTAACTCCTTTTTATTTTAATCAAATATTAAATCGAATAGGTACTCTGATACGCAGAACCCTGTGCTGTAACGAGACATGTAATAATACAGCTGGCTGGAATAAGTAAATAACTAATATGAAGACTTATATACTAATATGTTACGTTCATAGAAATAAAATTAATCACAAACTCTTTCACTACCCGTCATGATAATAATAACCGCGCAACGCCAATGGCCTTTTTAAATAACCTCAACCACGGACTTAACATAATATCCTCCTTCAAACTATATTCAACTTCATACATGTCCAAATGTAACTAGAACTACCTATAACTGCTTGCTCAGTAAGCACTCAATATTCTGAATAATTAGTCTCAAATAATAATAAGTAAATACTTATGGTCGGTATTGATGTAAGATTTACGGAAAGATCAAGAGAAGACCACCGACCACCTACCATCATACGAACATACATGATACCTAAATGGCTTCATCTCCTACTTACTCACCTTATGTCCTTTTCTGGATACCTGACTTAGAGTTGACACTACTTTTTAAACAATTCACGTAATCGCTAGTCACTGACACTCACTAATAGGTACTCGCCCTTGCCCAAAGCAGACGGTAACTCGGGAATAAACAACGTTGGAACTTTTCGCGCGTTTCCAGATTCCAGCAGATCATAGACGGCGTCAATTACAATGAAAGCAAGTATCTTCCGCCCGCGCTTTTCGTGGTACGAAATTGAGTTTTTCCAATGACAGAAAATAGCTGAAGGTTCTAATCTTAGTTATCTGGGATTCTCGGAAAGTGTTTTTCCGAAAACGCTCACTGATTTTTTGAAAAATCCGAGGAAAAATCGATTCATTATTTTGGGTAAATTAATAAGTGTATTCGAAATGATTTGGGAATAGCTCTGGTAAATTATTTGAAATCCACTTTTAGAAAAACATCCGTTCATAGTCTATCTCGTATTCTATAAACATCGTCTCGAACATCGTAGTTTTTTTCTTACACAAAAAAATAATTTTTGGTGGGTGAAAAGTGGGGCAGAATCTTGGGGCGAATAATACTAGTTTTCACTGTTTGTATGGAGAAAACTTTTGATTCCTTCGGGTAAGGAATATGACGGAATCTTTGAAATTAATTTTCATCCACTTCCAGACATTCCAGAATTTTTGTCTGTTTTAAAATCCTTGATCTCCCGCTGGTGAATGAGAAAATTATAAATACTGCCCTTGAAAATCACTAGCGTAAATTTCCAGATTCAGGCAAATCTGACGAGAAGTAGATAAATAATTTTCCATATTTTTGTTCATTGCTGATTTATTACCGCTTTTCCCAGATTACTACCGAAGCATTGCCGAATATTCCAAACACTGCCTTAGCATTGCCGACCACTGCCTCAGCATTACCGATCACTGCCTTGGCATTGCCGATCACTGCCTAGCATTCTTGACCACTGCCTCGGCATTGCCGACCACTGCCTAACATTTCCGACCACTGCCTATCATTGCCAACCACTGCCTATCATTTCCAACCACTGCCTATAATTGCCAACCACTGCCGACCACTGCCTTAGTATTGCCGTTAGTATTTCCGAGTACTGCCGAAAATTTGTACACCTATTGCCACATTGACGAACCCCTCGTAATTCATATAAAGGGTATAATAAAGATGACAGATTTGGAACAAATTTTGCAAAATAATTGATTGAGCCCAAAAGAGACTGCAATTGTTTGACATTTGTAGGAACCGGGGCATTTTTAATAGCCATCACCTTTTCAGGTGATTTCCGTAGGCCATTTTTGTCTATAATGAAACCCAAATAACTTACTGAATCTTTAAAAAATTCACACTTCTCTTTAGCAATTCTCAATCCTAGTTCCGTTAATCTAACTAATACTTTTTCCAGTCTTACTAGATGTTGAATTTCATCCTTTCCACTGATTAATATATCATCCAAGAAACATATACAACCTTCCATATCTTGAAGTGAAGATTCCATTATTTTCTGAAACTTCGAGGGAGCACAAGCTACTCCGAATGGTAAACGTTGGTATTGAAAAAGGCCTTTATGTGTTGAAATGGTGACGAACTCTTTGGAACTCTCGTCTAAACAAATCTGATTATATGCCTGAGATAAATCAATCTTGGTAAAAATCACACCACCCTGTAATTTGGAAAAAAGATCCTCAATTCTTGGCAAAGGATACTGATCAATTTCCAGTAGAGGATTTATTGTGATTTTGAAATCACCACAGATTCTCACTTTACCATTTTTTTTTTAAAACAAGAACAATTGGTGAAGCCCAAGGTGAATAATCAACTGGTTTGATAATATTTGATTTCACTAAATTGTCTAATTCTTCTTCCACCTTATCTCTGATGCCATAAGGAAGAGCTCTCGCTCGAAAAAATTTTGGTGTTGAATCGTTATCTTTTAATTTCAATTTAATGACTCCTTTGTTAAATGTACCCAATTCAGGTGAAAATACTTCTGCATACTTATGAAATAATTTATTCATCATGGCCTCCTTGTCAGTGAGATAATGAATAGAGTGAATGGTCAAATTATACAACTCCATAAAATCCCTACCCAGAATAGGAGGTCCACCATTCCTGATAATATAAATATTGAGTGAATTCACAATATTATTATATGAAATCAGAAATCTTACATATCCGAGAGTTTGCATAATACTACCATCATAAACATTTAACTTTTTCGTGCTTGGGAAAATTATATAGTTTTTAAAGTATTGTTTCCAAAAATTTTCTGAAATGACAGATATGCTAGCTCCCGAATCAAGCTGAAACTTATAAAACCTGTTCTCAATACTGACATCGATAATATATGGACTGTTAATTAAATTCCCATCCTTCAAGGTGAATAGCTGCTCTGAATCAAAACTGGATTCGATGTAATTCTGCACCAAATTACCCTCGAAATTACCTCTTGAAGAATGTCCTCCACTGCTTTCATTCTTCTTAGGACACATTGGGGCCATATGACCCTTAGCTTTGCAGATGTGACAGAAATAGTTACGCAAACGACAGTTTTCTACAGCATGATTATTACGACCACAGCAAGAACATTTTGGTTTGCCAG